TACCAATATATTTAGAAGTGCAAATTAGAAGCTGGAATATTGTTGATCTCTTGATGATGGAGCTGATGTTGGTGTCCCACTTCAGGTCCCTGGTAATTGTCGTGCCCAGGAACTTGCAGGACTCTACAGCCATGACAGTTCTGTCCAGGATGGTGAATGCTGGCAGGGTTGGAGGGCTCCTCCTGAAGTCCACTGTCATCTCCACTGTTTTTGCTGTATTCAGCACCAGGTTGTTGTGGCTACTTCAAAGGACCATCAACCATCTGTCTGTAAGCAGACTTGTCACCGTCTGAGAACAATGACTGTAGTGGCATTTGCAAACTTCAAGATTTTGACTGAGGGGTCTGACGAGGTACAGTCATTAGTGTACAGTGAGAAGAGCAAATGGGAGAGAACACAACCCTGTGTTCCCTGTGCACCCATACTGATGATCTGGGGTTTTGAGGTGAACTTTCCCAACCTCACCTGCTGCTCTCTGCTAGTGAGGAAGTTGGTGATCCACTTGCAGGTGGGGGCTGGCACGCTGAGTTGTAGCAGTTTGTTGTGTAGCTGTCCTGAGATGATTGTATTAGAGGCTGAACTGAAGCCCAAGAACAGAATTCTTGCATAAGTTCTTGGGTGTTCAAGCTGTTGGAGAAAAAGATTGAGTTCCATGTTCACTTTGTCATCCACCAACCTTTTTACCCGGTATGCAAACTGCAGGGGGTCTAGCAGAGGATCTGTGATGTTCTTCAGATGAGTGAGCGAGCTGGGCTTTTCAAACCTGCAGTAAAGTTAAGCTCATCAGCCAGCCGACAATCACTCATTGTCTAGGGGGGTGTCCTTTTTTAGCTGGTGATGTTCTGCAGGCACTTCCAGATGGTTGATGGCTCATTTGTGGACATCATGCTACTCACCTTGTTTGAGTAGCTTTTCTTGGCAGCTCTGACTTCTTTACTGAGTGTGTTTCTTGCCTGATTGTACAGAGCCCGATCCCCACTTCTATACGCTGCCTTTTTAAACCGGCGCATCTGTTTCAGTTTGGCATTAAACCAGGGCTTGTCATTGTCATATTTAATGTGAGTCCTGGTGGGAACACAAGTGTCTTCACAAAAGCTGATATAGGTTGTCACAGTATCTGTATATTCATCCAGGCTGCAGGTAGCATCCTCAAACACACTCCAATCTGTTAATTCCATGCAGTCCTGAAGACTTTCTTTAGCCTCGGTGGTCAACTTCTTTACAAAGCTGACTGCAGGTTTGGCAAGCTTGAGCTTCTGGTTATAGATTGGATGGAGGTGGATTAGTGAGTGATCTAACAAGCCTAGAGCAGCATATGAAACAGAGCGATAGGCCCCCTTTAACACAGTGTAGCAGTGATCTAAAGTATTACTTTCTCTGGTGGGTCGGGTAACATGCTGTCTGTATTTAGGCAGTTTGCTGGTGAGTTGTACTCTATCTAAGTCCCCTAACATGATAAAAACAAAGTCTGTGTGTTTGAGCTCCATGCTGGTGATCTGATCTGGGTTGGAAAATAGACTCCGGCGAGAACAACAGAGGAGAATTCCTACGGAGAGTAAAAAGGTTTACAGTTTATAAAAAGCGCTTCCAGGTTAGGACTGCATGTTTTCGTTACCACTATCAAGCCCTAGCCAGATGTCCTGCTGCATGTCCAGTGGTGGCCCTTTGCCGCTGGCTGTATGGCATCGGTTTTGGCCAGTCCTTGGATCATTTCCATCACCTGTTCTGCCCACGCTGACAGTAGTGACACATATGACTAGTCCACTGCTCCACAGGTGCTGCAGATAGGGCTGCCCACCACTCTGGGCAAGTGTGCTCACTGCCCCCTAGTGTGTGTGCATTCACTATTGTGTATGTGATGTTTCACTGAAAGGACGGGTTAAATGCGGAGGTGAAATTTTTCCGTTGTGGGACGAATAAGGGTCACTTAATCTTAATGGCTCCTCTGCCCTTCTTTGGCGTTTAAAAAAAGTTCAGATCAAAGGAGCATGGGCCAGTAACATTATCCAAAACACCTCTGGAGCACCCCAACTAATGCATCATAATCAACTTTCTCGCTAGAGTCAAGCAGTATCAGGCAAGCTAATGCATCATCATTTGAACAGAGTGTCAGCAAAGGGCTTTCTGTTCATCAGACCACTCAAATGATTTGGCCTCCAGTTCAAATTATACCTGGTTTTAACAGAATATTTAGGAGTCTTAGCATCATTGTTTACATCTGTTTGGACATTATGGAAGTCTGGAATGGTACGCAATGGTGATTAAACTTTGGGATGGCTGGTGCCTCCAAACCTTCGCACCATGCTGGCTCTTCCTTCACCACCACTGCTTTCTCATGGCTCTCCTTCGGAGCTGTGGCGCTCCTGATTATGCAAACTCCTGATGTTCCTTTTCTTTTTTATGTAAACAGAGTGCTCCATCTGTTCTCTGAGCTATGTAGCTTAGCTTAGCTGCTGGATATTGCTGCCGAATATTCTGAATCTCTCCTGTTGAGGCGGGGCCTTTTTTCTTTTGACAACTGTAGCATTTGCCACTATTAAAAATACATAGTTTACTGCACCAATTGTGCTTTATTAAAGGTTGTAGTTGACCATAGTCATGCTGTACAAAAAGAGAGCTTGGCTAACACTTTCTAAGCCTAAGCTCAAAATTCACATCTGGATTTTGTAGGTATTGCAATCTATTAAAGTACTTTAGAAACATAAAAGTGAACTATGCAATGGAATATCCTGTGAAACATTGTGACAAATTAAATTGATATAATAACTTTAGTTTGGTTACTGACATAAACAGCGAATTTGTCACTCATTTTTTTCATGGAATAAATGACTGAAATTTCTCCAATCAGGCTTCCTTTATAATGAATTTTTATTGTTATTAATTGTGGCCCATGAATGTAGCTGTGTACTGCAATTAAATTATTCTGTATAAAGTTAGAACATTTATTTGGTTAGCATTCAGGTATATTTGAATAAAGAGTTTATATATATATATATATATATATATATATATATATATATATAATGTTTTGAACCTGCATGGTTGCTTTTTAGGTTTACAGTTATGTAGTCATTATTTTCATCAGTATGTGCAGATGAAATATAAACATGGGGTGTGGTTGCCAAAGCAAGAAACACACATACCAAAAACACTATATCTTTTCAGTTTAATATATACTTAATAACTTTAATATATACTGTTAAAAAAAGAGATGGCCAAATTGGTTAACTCCTTTGATGGTGAAAGTATGAATGAGGTATTTTTTCAACTAAATTTATGTCATGAACTTAAGGCCTAGCTCTAATAATAAAGATGTCACTGGTTGGAAAACGAATGAAAAAGAGCCAGTCAGTTCCTGGTTAAGCCATAAGTTGGATAAGCCCCCTTAGTTATGGCTAAACCTATTTTTTGTGTGTTATTTAAGCCAAATGCAACAAACCATTAATGAGACTTTATCCAATTTTAGCAGTGATTTAAAATATGTTCTTGAAATGGTAATTTGGCCGTGAGTTTTGACAGTTTAAGTCTCTCGTCATTTAAAGTGATGGGAACCTGGTCCTGTATGGCTGGAAACAATTGCCCAGTGGTTTTGCCAAGATGGCCACTGAGTTGACACGATGCTTTGATGCGTCCATGTCCACACTGACCATAGTAAAATGTATCAGCATGTGAAATTGCAGCTTCTATGTTTTAAGAAAATCATGATGCTGCGCCAATCAAAAGAAGTGGAATTAAACAGTAATAGGCTATATATACGTTGTGCAAATGTAAATGTGCACTATCAGAGCTGTGATCAGTTTCAGGACTCAAACTTTTTTTTCTCCTGTAACGTCATGCTTGTGCTTTAGTTTTGTTTGTACATATTATTTAAGCAGTTGAAAAACACTGTCATGTTAATCTGTGTTTAATGTGGGACCAAATCTGGAATCTAGACTAGACCAAAACCGTTTTTTTTTTTGCATTGTATACTTTTATTCATGGGATTGTATGCCCTTTTTTTCCTTGATCAAAAAGTTATCATGTGTGATGATTCTACGAGATAAATTTGACTAAGATTTTTTATTTTTGAGAAATTAAAAATTATCTGAAAAAAAAAAAAAATTACCACCGTATTTATTACTAAAATTGTGATTATTAAATGACAAAAAAAAAAACTATAAAATGTGAGGCTGTAAGAAATTCTGGATGATTGTTTAAACTCACAAATTCATGATGTAACCATCTGATTTTCATGACATTCCAAGTTTTTCTTTAAAATTCTATATATCACATTTTAAATGATATATGATAACTTACGATTAACAATAAATCAGATTTTATCATATACCGCATCACCACCTGTGTAAGGACGATGGCTACAGTTGTCTATTCTCATTAGATATAAAACCTTGATTTAAAACAGACATTTAAAATTTCTTTATGGGAAAAGGTAAACAAGTAAACATACATCTACAATGCCTTTAAATGTTGATAACACTGGCATGCAGCATTTGATGCAGTCATCATACATGACTGTGTGCCTTAGGAAGCATGAGTTACACTGCAGGCACAGCAGTGATAATCCTGCATTTTGTCCTGATTTAACTTTTCTCGTATTTCATTCATCAGAGAATCCATTATTGCATTTTATAATTCACAGTAAATGTATTCTAGTTTAGCATAACCTTGTCTACAGAGATTTGTGTTTTTTGGAGGTGTGCTTTTGAGCATGACGTAAATGTAGGTCTGTTATAAATGTGTTTGATCTCTCCTGAAATTCTGTTCCAAAAGATTTTGTCCTGCTGCAGAAGGTAATGTATCAAACCACTGTGGATCAGTTTTTAACATCCTGTACTCTGGTTTCATATGTTTTTTACAGATCGTCATTTGCTAGTGATTTATTCTCTTTGGTACAAATTCTTTAAATCATTGCTATTTGCATTAATATTTTGATGATTTGTAGTCAAGATTCTATAACTATTTTTTTTTTCTGACGTTTGGTTTAAGACTCGTCTCCTGCCATGACATCCGTGGCATCCCTTGAAAATACTACATTCATTCGTCCCCCTACATTTTACATCAGTGGATTGTACAACGTGCCGCATACAAAATATTACTATATGTTTTTGTGCTTTGTGTACGCTGTGACTATTTTAGGGAATTCTTTTATAATGGGTACTATATACCTGGCACGCACTCTGCACACAGCAAAGTATATAGCTGTCTTCAACTTGGCCTTGTCTGATCTGGGTGGAAGCTCTGCTATTATTCCTAAGTATGCAGACATGTTTCTGAGTGAGAACCAGTACATACCTTATGAGGACTGTCTGACAAGCATGTTCTTTGTTTTTCTTTTTATGACCATGCAGTCCTTTACTCTGCTTTCTTTGGCCTTTGACAGAGTAATTGCTATATGTTTTCCTCTGAGGTATCATGCTATTGTCACCAAAACCACAATGAGTCTGATCATTGGTGTTTTGTGGCTTATCTCTGTATTTCTTGTTACCATCCGTTTGGTTCTGATTGGCAGACTGTCCTTCTGTAGATCTACCATAGTTTACAGTTATTTCTGTGATTATTTCCCCATCTTCACACTAGCTTGTAATGATAATTCTCCTAATTACGCCTTGGCTTATGTCAACGTTTCTGTTCTGCTTTGCATTCCATTGATGCTAATAGGTTTTTCATATGTTTGTATTGGTGTTGCTCTGTGTAAGATCTCACAAGGTGCTGAACGAATCAAAGCTATGAAAACCTGCACATCTCATCTCATATTAGTGGCCATGTTTTATCTACCAATCATTAGCGTTTATATTAGTGCTCATACAACATACATACATCCAAACACTAGAATAATCAACTCCGTTCTAACACAAATAATTCCACCCATGTTAAACCCCATCATATATACTCTGAAGACAGAGGAGGTATTGCAGTCTATTAAAATACTCTACAAACGAATGAAGGTGAACTTTGCAATGGAAGATCCTGTGAAAAACATTGTGAAGAATTAAAGTCATATAATAACTTTAGTTTGGCGTACTGGCATAAAGTGGAGCATAGTTCACTATTCATTGAGTTTAAAGACTCAAATCCTTCCCTTCAGGATTCTATTAAAATTATTCTTGCTGTATGATTGTAGTTGAATGTACTGCAACTTAATGATTTCACATAAATTTAGAAAATTTATTTGGTTACTATTTAGATACATGTATGAATAACAAATTTTTGAAAATAATATTGATACACTACTTAAATATTTAAAGAAATGTTCCAAAAAGTGCTTTGACCCTGCATGGTTGTTCTTGAGTTTTACATTTATGTAGCTATTATTTTCATTAACACAAACAGCTGAAACATAAACATATCAGGGGCAGTTGCCAAGGCAAAAAACATGCATAAAAAAGTGAAAAAAGAACTCCTGACAAATCTACACTTTTTAGTTTAATACATACTTCCCCATGCTCTTTGAAAGACAACTTAAAAAGAAGTAAAAATGAAGAAAAAACATAATTCAGCTGTGTTAGCACCAAGACAATCATGGTATATATTCACAAATAATTTCAGATGATTACTTTAATCACAGAAATACTTATAACAATCGTTCAAAAAATATTCTTTACTTTGAGTGTTGTGGTTTGAATGTTGTCTCTTTCATTAAATTATTTAGATTTTTAAAGAGAAGAGTTGCTGTTGTATTTAAACACTGTGAAGTTTTATTAAAATATTGTAAAGTTGCAAAATGTAGCATTCACTATATCGTCCATACAGTCCATATATAAAAACATTTGTGTGATTTCATGATAAGTAATGCATTTACATATGTTCAATTATTTATCTACAGCAGGAAAGCCTAAACTTTTCACACTGAACATATAAGGAGCATTTCATTCATTTGGTATTCGAAAGTCCAAGATGGTGGCCACCCTGGGTATTGGAAAATATGGTGCTTTAAACTTTTGGAATTACTTTTCTGAAACAATTTTGCATGATGTACATCAGAAACACTAATGAATATGCCTACAAATGCCAAACCTGCTTGATAGCAGAAAACAGAGTTTGTCCATAATAAATGATGGATTGCTGGAGGCACTGTTTGACCTCTGGCTGCACTGCAAGCCAGGCCTCCAGACCACAGCAGTGTCTGACACTGGCCCAGAGAGAAAGCTCCATAAACTGTATGCCAGGAAGGGGGAAGCACGGTAAGCACTAGACATTCAAGCTAGGCTAAAAGCTATCTCTAGCAGCCTGTTTCTACTGTGTCTTCAACACGCCACCCCAATAGCAGCACTGTCTGGTAAGGCTAACGGTATTTGTATACGTATTTAAACTAAAACCAAATGGTGCAGTGTGTGTTGTGCTGGTAGAAATGGATCAGACGCAGCAGTGCTGTGCAGTTTTTAAACACTGTGTCCACCCACTGTCCACTCTATTAGACACTCCACTTGTTGGCCCTTCTCGTAGATGCAAGGTCAGAGACAATAGCTCATTTGTTGCTGCACAGTTTGTGTCAGTTATTCTCTAGTACTTCATCAGTGGTCACAGGGTGCTGCCCACAGGATGCTGTTGGCTGGATATTTTTGGTTGGTGGACTATTCTCAGTCCAACAGTGACTCTGAGGTGTTTAAAAACTCCAGCAGGACTGCTGTGTCTGATCCACTCAGACCAGCGTAACACACACTAATATGCCATGATCACGTTAGTGTCTCTGCCCTGCTGAGAATGATCCACCACCCAAATTATTCCTACTCTGTGTGGGTCTTGAACACTGTTGACAGGGTAAAGGTGGAAAAACAATTATTGCAAAGAAACAGATGGACTACAGTCTGTAACTGTAGAAATACAAAGTATACCTTCATAGTAAGTGGAGCTGATAAAATGGACAATAAGTGTAGAAGCGAGGTAGATGTACCTAATAAACTGCTCAGCGAGTGTACATTCATTTAATATAAGTGTGTGTGGCCTGGGTGGACCCACATTCCTGGCCTGAATAATGGTCTTAGTCTGACACTGCTGGGCACCTACCTGCTTCCGAACACTGCTGGAGTAGGAAGCATGTGTTACATTGCAGACAGCCATCATAACCTGGCTTTCAGGTCTGATTTATTATTTATTATACCAATTAAATTCATGAAAGAATCTGATATTGCATTATTGCAAACCATTTTGATTTCACTGTTTTTGTAATGTCATGAAAACCAATGCTTTTACATACACTATATGGACAAAAGAATTGGGACATGCCTCTTAATTAATGAATTCAGGTGTTTCATTCAGTCCCATTGCCACAGGTGTGTAAAATCAAGCACCTAGCCATGCAGTCTGCCTTTGCAAACGTGTGAAAAACTGCATCATGCATAAAAATCACCAACGCCCTGCTGACTCCATCAATGCAGAGTTCCAAACCTCCTCTGCCATTAACCTCAGCACAAAAACTGTGCACCGGGAGCTTAATAGTATAGGTTTCCATTGTCGATCAGCTGCACACAAGCCTTACATTACCAAGCACAATGCCAAGCGTCAGATGGAGTGGTGCAAAGCACACTGCCACTGGGCTCTGGAGCAGTGTAAACATATTCTGTGGGTTGAGTCTGGGTGTGGCAAATGCCAGGAGAACCTGTCTGACTGCATTGTGCCAACTGTAAAGTTTGGTGGAGGAGGGATAATGCTATGGCATTGTTTTTCAGGGGTTGGCCTAGACCCTTTAAATCCAGTGAAGGAAAAATTTTAATGCTTCAGCATATCAAGACATTTTGGAGAGTAGTATGCTTCCAACTTTGTGGGAACAGTTTGGGGAAGGCCGTTTTCTGTTCCAGCATGACTGTGCCCCAGTGCACAAAGCAAGGTCCATAAAGGCATGGTTGGTTATGTTTGGTCTAGAAGAACTTGACTGGGCTGCACAAAGCCCAGACCTCAACCCCATCAAACACTTTTGGAATAAACTAGAATGGAGATTGCGATTCAGGCCCTCTCGTCCAACATCAGTGTCTGACCTCACAAATGCTCTTCTGGATAAATGAGAAAAATTCTGGAAAAATTCCCACAGACACACTCCTAAATCTTGTAGAAAGCTTCCCAGAAGAGTGGAAGCTGTTATAGCTGCGAAGGCGGGAACAACTGTATATGTCACGCTACATTTGTGATAATCTTTAATCTAAACCCTGACAAAATGATTAATGTGACATTTGACCTTTAGGTCATGAATCAGATTTTGTCAGAAACCACATCACCTTTTATGTCCTTCAGGATGAAGTCTACAGGGGCCTTGTGACATTACAAAATACTAAAAAGATCACAAATAACAAAAATAGTCTCTCTCCATTTAGGTCTTTTTCTCCTAGAGGATTACGGTAGATGGAAAACAACTGAAGATATAATCTAGGCTGCCTTTAAATGTTGGATAAACAGGGGTGCCTGACAGGCAGCATTTTATGCAAACAGTCAGGACATGACTGGGTTGGGACATGACTGGGTGCCTTTGTTCTACCACTGCGTAGGAATGGTTAGGAGTTACATTGCAGAGACAGCTGTAATAATCTTGCATTCTATCCTGATTTATCATTTATTGTAAACTTAATTAATGAGAGAATCAATTATTGCATTTTTTTATTCACCACAAATATATTTCTGTTTAGCCAGTTATAGACATTTGTGCTCTACAGAGATTGGTGTTTTTTTGGAGGTATGCTTTTGAGGGTGATGTAAACATGACGTAGGCCAGTTATAGTTTAGTTATAAATGTGTTTGATCTCCTTTGAAATTCTACTCCAAAAAGTTTTGTGCTACTGCAGAAGGTACTGTATCAAATCACTGTAAATCAGTTTTTAACATCCTGTACTCTTGTTACTCAACTCATGTGTTGAATAGTTTTACACAGTTTTTGTCTAATGATTTATGTATGATTTATGATTTGTATGTTAACAATGCTATTAATATTTTTTTATTTGCTTTAACATTTTAATGGTTTGTAGTGTGATGGACTGTTTGAAGGGTCTGTAACCACTCTTTCTTTTATTTTATTTAAGACCAGTCTCCTGACATGAATTCTGTGGTGTCCTTTGAGAATGCTACATTCATTCGTCCCTCCACGTTTTATATCAGTGGATTGTACAACATGCCGCATACAAAATATTACTATATGTTTTTGTGCTTTGTGTACGCTGTGACTGTTTTAGGGAATACATTTATAATGGGTACTATATACCTGGCACGTACTCTGCACACAGCTAAGTATATAGCTGTCTTCAATTTGGCCTTGTCTGATCTGTTTGGAAGCTCTGCTCTTATTCCGAAGTATGCAGACATGTTTCTGCTTGAGAACCAGTACATATCTTTTGAAGACTGTCTGACAAGCATGTTCTTTATTTTGCTTTTTATGACAATGCAGTCATATACTCTGCTTGCTCTGTCATTTGACAGAGTAATTGCTATATGTTTTCCTCTGAGGTATCATGCTATTGTCACCAAAACCACAATGACTCTGATCATTGGTGTTATGTGGCTTGTCTCTGTGTCTATAGTTACTGTCCGTGTAGCTCTGATTACCAGATTGTCCTTCTGCAAATCTACCACAGTTTACAGCTATTTCTGTGATCATGGCCCCATCTACAGACTAGCCTGTAATGATAGTAATTTTAATTACATAATAGCTTATGTCAATGTTGCTGCTGTGCTTTGCCTTCCATTAACAATAATAGCTATCTCATATGTTTGTATTGGTTTTGCACTGCTGAAGATCTCACATGGTGCTGATCGAATCAAAGCTATGAAAACCTGCACTTCCCACCTCATATTAGTGGCCATGTTTTATCTACCAATCATTAGTGTTTATATCACTTCTCTTACAACATACATACATCCAAATACTAGAATAATCAACTCCGTTCTAACACAAACAATTCCGCCTATGTTAAACCCCATCATATATACTCTGAAGACAGAGGAGGTATTGCAGTCTATGAAAGTACTTTACAAACGAGTGAAAGTGAACTTTGCAATGGAAGAGGCGGTGAAA